TTGGTTACAATGAACTTAGTTTATGTGAAGTAAGTGTGCTTGAAAAGTTATTTGTTACATTTTTAATTTTTTATTTATATTTATATTATTAACTAGAAGATGCCCACACCAAATATTTTTGTAGAAAATATTTTAACTGACATCAAAGAATTTATTAAAAGATTATCAGTTGCATAGATAAGGTAAGGAAGGATTTATGCACTGTTCCACTACTCTTTTTAAGTACATTAAAAAAAACTTTAAAAAAACTTTGTAAAAATGTTCAGTTTAAGCACAGCTTGATTTGTGCACTTTTTAACACTCACTTCTGGATCTCACTTCTGTTACAGCATGGGGCTCACAGTGGCTGGTGAACATTAATTCAGATAAAACTCAATTTTTTTCGGCCAATTGTTATCGCAATAGTTTAGACCTTCCTATATTTATGAACGGTAATGTACTCGATGAGTCTCCTACCCTTCATCTTCTAGGATTAACTCTTATTTCTGATCTTTCTTAGAAACCTTATATCAAATCCGTTGCAAAATTAGCATCTGCTAAAGTTGCTTCTCTTTATCAAGCTCGTCACTTTCTTACTCTGGATTCTATTCTCTATCTCTATAAATCTCAAATCTGGCCTTGTATGGAATACTGTTGCCATATCTGGGGCGGATCTTCTAATGATGTTCTTTCTCTTTTAGACAAGGTGCAAAAACCCATTGTAAACATAGTTGGACCTGCTCTTGCAGCCAACCTTCAACCTCTGTCACATTGTCGTAATGTTGCTTCTCTTTCTCTTTTCTACAAATACTATAATGAGCACTGCTCGAAAGAGCTAGCGTCTCTTGTGCCATCTACTAAAATTCATTCTCGTGTTACTTGTCATTCAATTAAGTCTCATCCATTTTCTGTTACTGTTCCTAAGTGCTCCAAAAATTCTTATTCGTCTAGTTTTTTTCCTTGAACATCAGTTCTTTGGAATTGGCTTCCTTCATCTTGCTTTCCTGATTCATATAATTTGCAATATTTTAAGTCGTCTGTCAATTGTTATCTTGCTCTACAATCTTCATCTTTTCTCTTCCAGTAACTTCCAACACTAATTAGTGGTTGCTTGCAGCCTTGTTGGAAGCGAAGATAATTAAAAAAAAAAAAAAAAAAAACATATTCCAACAACCTGTTAAGTTTTTTCTTTGTTACTAAATACTGAATTGTACATATGGCACTGTCTTTGGTAAAAACAATATAAAACACTTCAAACATTTAATTTAGTAAATATATAAATTACATGAGTTCTATTTTTATAACAATTACTTTTTTGTTCGTATGATGTTTTTTATCTGCACCAATTTAAGTAGATGTCAGTTTGTTTATTCTATTACAAGGATGTAGTTCTTACCTTTGTGTAATATGCCTACACTTAATATATAATTTTGATTTTTTTAATAATTTTCCTGATTGTCTTGTAACCTAGTGGTAATGTAAAATGTTTAGGAATTATAAATTTCTATGCAAATTTTGACAAGAGAGAGAAAAAAAAAAAGATAAATTAAAAACAAAATTTAAAATGAATTAACCTAGATATTTCCAATGAAAGCAACAGTTATATACCATACTTCTTGTTATTGTAGATTTTTTTTTAATTTTAATTCACCTCCTCAAGGCCGAGACGGCCACTACAGACGAGGAGGCTACTTATTTTGTGGCTATAACCCTCTCTCAACTCTATTACTCCGAAACACGAACCTTGACGAACAAGGCCGCTGCGCGGAGAAACGAGTTTTTATTTTTAATTTTTTAGTTAGATAATATCAAATATTTAAAACTTTAGGTAATTGGAAGAGGTGCTTACGGTACTGTTCAAAAAGCAATATGGAGAAATCATATGGTTGCAATTAAAATTCCAGTAAATCAAAATGATTGTAAAGAATTCAGTGAAGAAGTAAATTTTTGATTTTGAATGTGTTTGAGTTTAACGATTAAATAAGGAATAAGATTTGCATTAGGGATTTTTGTACTGTAAATATTCAAGTTTAGTCTTTATTTTTTTTTAACTTTAGTATAACCTCATATTAAATTTTTTTTTTAGGCAAAGCAGTTATCGATTGTGCAGCACAGAAGCATAATCCAACTATATGGAACAGTTATAAATGGACCAAAAGTATAACACAGTTATTTTCTGAAAATTGTTCACCCTACAGATCTGTTGTCATTCTATAATATCTTATTTCATTCAGTCAAGTATTTCTTATGTTTATGCTGTCCAAATTTGCTAACATTATCAGCAGTCTCTACCTACATCTTTATGTCACTAAATCAAACATAATATTCACTGATTCTTTAAAATATATTCTTAAATGGTATAATCAGAATGTCAATCAATTGTATTAATAACAGCATTTTTTTTATTGTATTGTATTTTTATTTTTTATTTTTTATTATTTGGTTGTATTAATAACCATAATCCTCCGCATGGTTAGCTCATAATTCTTCACAATAGTAGATATTTAATGTTACTAGCGATAGTTAGTAACATTCAATATTTACCAATTTCATTTTACCAATTTAATTTTAAAATTTATCATTTTAATATTTTTTTTTAAAGCTGTGCTTAGTGATGGAGCTAGCAGATTGTGGTTCATTACATAACTGTAAGAATTTTACTATGCAAAATCTTCTGCAAAGTTTTTTTAAATGTAGATTTTTGATATGGAATGTTTTTTTTTTAAGTGCTGCATCCACCACTTGGGGACAAAACTTTTCATTACACACTTGCTCATGTGTTAAGTTGGGCATTACAATGCGCTGAAGCAGTTGAATATCTACACAATATAAAGCCAATGCCTATCATACACAGAGATCTAAAACCACCAAAGTATATTATAATTTTTTCAATAAATACTGACCAGAGTTTTTGTTAAATAAAGTCTCTTGTTTTTGATTAGGGGCTCAAAGTATTAGTTTATTAAGTTATGTGTTGCATTGTTTATGTCACATGTTTTTTCATGGTATTTTTTGCAAATTTTTGTCTTGCATTTCTGTAGCACACTTTTTTGTTACTCTTTTTATGTCAATTTTTGGCATCCCTATTGCATTAATTTTTGTCACAGTACTGCATTGCACCATATCATGCTTCTGTGCTGCACTGTTCATAGCACTTATCTGTTTTCCATTTTTTAGTTGTACATTAGGAAACACCCACAAATTATATCTCAGAAAAAACCTTTCAGAAAACACCCTCAGATTTTATCTTAGAATACACTTTTTCTTCATTGGCAAATTTGGTGCTTAGAGAATTGTGTCAAAGTTATAAACAAATGCAAAAAAAGAATTGAATCTAATGATTAGTTTTAATATATTTGTAGAAAAATTCGTTATGGCTAAACCATACGAGCAAAATTAAGTTTTACACAAGCACATACATTATGTGACACAAACACTGAGTGACATTATGTGACACAAACACTGAGTGACATTATGTGACACAACACTGAGTGACATTATGTGACACAAACACTGAGTGACATTATGTGACACAAACACTGAGTGACATTATGTGACACAAACACTGAGTGACATTATGTGACACACTGAGTGACATTATGTGACACAAACACTGAGGCTTTTTGTTATTTGTTTACTATTATTGTTACTATGATCAAAAATAAAGTAAAATTTTTTTATAATCTAGTGATGCTTTAGAGAATAACTAGAAGTAGTAACTTGTTTTATAATTTTTTTTTTAGTATATTCTATTTAAATTACATTTGTATAATTAAGTATGTTGTTTTAAACACTGAGTGAAATTATGTGACATACAAACACTGAGGCGTTTTGTTATTTGTTTACTATTATTATTACTATGATTTTTTTTTTTTAATTTTTAAGAATGTTTTAATAAATAACTAGAAGTAGTAACTTGTTTTATTAGTTATTTGTTTTAGTGTAGTCAATTTTTGTTACATTTAGTATGTTGTTAAAGCAATCTGGGACTGTTTTAAAAATATGTGATTTTGGCACAGCATGTCATCCTCATTCAGAAATGTCTTCTACTAAAGGAAGTGCATCCTGGATGGCACCAGAAGTATATAGAGGTAACTTTAAGAAAAATTATAAAAAAATTAAAACATCAATTATTTTTCTTTTGAGTTATTTATGTAATTGCACAAGTTAATTTTATTCAGCTTGTGAAAACAAGATGAGCCAGATATTCTTTTTAGCGACACATTGCATCAATGACACATTAAATTAACTTCAAAGACATTTTAAATATATCAAATGTTTTTCTGACATCTATCTTGATCAATTTCACCTTCTTTCCAAATGGAAAACTATCTCAGCTAGCTTAAATAAGATGCCTACCAGCTCAGTAAGCTCTGTTGACTAGTTAATCACCAGTAGCTTCAGTTTTTTCATACAAAACTGCTCAGGGACATGACACTAGGGTTAGCATAATTAACTGTTCTGTTAAACATCAAACAATATAGAAACAAATAATGCTACTAAAGGAAAGTTTTTTGTCTTGCTTCCAAAACTTACAAGAAGGCTTGCATTTAGTATTAAAGCAGGTAAATCTTATAAGAATTATGCTTATGGATACTTGTAAGCTTCCTTAAAATTTTGTTATGATAATACATGTATAATAATATATATATATATATGTATTGAAAAAAAAGCATGCATCTTAGTAATAAAAATACAATAATAAACTAAGGGATCATTGATAAGTTTATTAAAAATTAAATATTACATCAGAAAAAAATTTAAAGTTTATTAAAATTTAAGTTTATACATTTAATCTAAACATATAGTTTGGTTATTATATATGTATATATATATATATATATATATATATATATATATATATATATATATATATATATATATATATATATATATATATATATATATATATATATATATATATATATATAAAACACGTGTGTGTGATTATTTATTATATATTATATACTTATACTTAATATTTTAGGAGCAAAATATGCTGAGAAATGTGATGTTTATAGGTAAAGTTATTTATTTTTTTCAAAAAAAGTTTTTTATTTTAACAAATATTATATTATTTAATGTAATGTCTTAGGCATATTTGTGTATTAGATTTTTTTTATTATTAAGTAGTTAAATACTATGAAATGTTTTTTTTTAGACCTTTGCAAAGGTTTCAATATATATATATATATATATATATATATATATATATATATATATATATATATATATATATATATATATATATATATATATATATATATATATATATATATATATATATATATATATATATACAGTGGTTTTCATAAATTTAGACGCACTCATATTTGAGAATAGAAATTTTTAGTTTTTCAACGATAAAACAATGACGAAAAAAGATTTTGGTTTAGTTTTTTTTCTATTTATTAGATAAATACATACAGAATACAAAATTTAAAAAAAGTTTACAAAAAAAATTAAATACTAAGTAATAATTAGGTACAACTACATGGTATTAAAAAAATTAGACAAAAAAAATTATTCATAAATTTAGACGCACGATACATTAGAAGGCGTAATTTATGAACCAATCAATATTTTGTGTATCCGCCTTTTGCTTTAATACAACTAAGAACTCTTCTAGGCATAGACTCAACAAAATTTTTGCACATCGCTTCTGGGACCCCATACCAGGTCTCCTTAAGGAATTCCTTCAGCTGAGTAAGTGTGGAAATTTGAACCTTTGCTAATTCACGGTCAATCCAAGCCCAAATGTTTTCAATCGGGTTTAAATCAGGTGAGTATAAAGGCCACGGTATTGTCATGATACTATTACCGTTGAACCACTCCTTTGTATAGTATGCAGTATGTGCAGTAGCGCCATCTTGTTGAAGTTTCCATGGTTTATCATTGAGCATAAGCAGGTCAATTGATGGAATTAAGTTGTTTTCCAGTACTTATACGTATATTCTGGAGTTGATTTTTCCGGTGTATGTTTGGCACATACCAACACCTTTGTAATTGAAGCATGACCAGATTCCTATCGAGCCTCCTCCACTTTGTACAGTCTGTCTAATGTACCTGGCGTAATACTTTTCATGAGCCATTCTTTTGACTGTTATGTTAGATTTGCGATTGATAAGCTCAAAGTTACTCTCATCACTCCACATAATGTTTTCCTATTGTTCTATTGTCCAATACCTTCTTTCACGACACCATTTTAGTCTCTTTTGTTTATTATATGGACGCAGAAGTGGTTTCTTCAAAGCAGTGTAGACTCCAATCTTGTATTTGATAAGTATTCAGCTGTGCTTTGAGAAATAGAATTATTTCGCGTTGTATTGAATTCTGTGGTTGATTCTTTGTAACTAATTCTTGGATTAGCTCTGACTGCTCTAAAATGAACACTATCGTCCTTTCTGGTGGTTGACAAGGGTCTACCTGGCCTCGTTTTCTCGCTGGCACCACCAGTGTGAAGAAAGTTTTGTTTCGTTGTCCGAACGCATTTCTTAGAAACTCCAATTAACTTGGCGATTTTTCTATTACTTTTGGTTCCTTCTTTGATGTGCGCAATAATTTGCCATCTTTCACCTTGAGTGATACGTCTTTTGCCCATTTTTTGCGTCTTTTTAGTGCAAAACTAACTTAACTTTTGTTTATTTATTAAATAATGATTAACTAATTCCAGGTAAGTCATATTTATATAAGGTTTTTGACAAAATCAATTACTTTAGGCCTATTAATGAGAAATATGGAGAAAAAACTACTAATTAACTATCAATTAACAAGATATAAGACTTTTTTGGTTGTGCGTCTAAATTTATGAACAAAATAAAATCAAGCTTATCAATTAACTTTTTTGTGTTAACCGGTATAGAATGAGTAATAAACATCCTGTAAAAAAAAAATTAAGGTACTCATAAATAGAGTTTCACTTCCTCTTGTAAATTATATATCAAACATAGCGGTAGTACTTTTATTTTATTTTTATTTTGAGTATTTTCTTTCATATATGAAAATAAAATGAATGCGTCTAAATTTATGAAAGCTACTGTATATATATATACATACATATATATATATATATATATATATATATATGTATATATATATATATATATATATATATATATATATATATATATATATATTATATATATATATATATATATATAATATATATATTTATATATATATATATATATATATATATATATATATATATATATATATATATATATATATATATATATATATATATATATATATATATATATATATACACACACTGTTGTGAAAAAGTTAAGAACCACTAAAGAAAAAAACAAATATTTTCAAATAAAATTAATTAATTTTTCTTCTAAAGATAACAAAATTGTCTTTTTTTTTTCACACATTAAATAAACATGAGAAAATAGAAAAATTTTTTTTTTTGAAAATTAATTAATAGAACCTATAAAAATAAGGATTAAATATTATGTATTAACTTTTTTCAATATTTTTTTTGTGAGTTAAGAACTTGTGAAAAAGTTAAGAACCACAAGGAATCTTAACTTTTTCACAAGTGCTAAATGCAGTGAAAACAGCTTTTTTTTAATTGATTTTTACCTTTTTTAATTAAATATTTTATTAATTACCTGAGTCATTACCAAAAAACCAAAAGTATTAAAAAAAAAAGTTTTTAATTTCAAACAAAAAAAAACTCTTCTTTTGAAAAAATGAGCCGAAAAGCTATTACCTATGAAGATTGTGTAAAAGTAATGCATTATCACCAAGAAGGTAAAACTGCTTGTGAAATTGGAAAAATAATAAAACGATCACATAGTTCGGTGCTAACAATCATTAAAAGATTCAGAGAGACGAAATCTTACGTTGATCGCCATCGTTCTGGAAGACCGCGTTTGACAACACTCAATGATGATTGCCTTTTTATCAGGTTTGCAAAGAAAAATCGAACTATGTTGTCGCATGAATTAAGAAGGGAATGGAAGCTTTCAAATGGATGTCAAGCATCAGCATCACTTGTGCGTAGGAAACTAATAGCTAACAATATGCTATGGAAAAAAGCTGTTCTAAAACCGAGACTTAACATATAAAAAAGCGAAAAGAATTTTGCCAAAGTGTCAAAGAATGGTCTGAAGAAAAATTGAAGACAGTAATCTTCAGTGATGAGATGAATATCAAGATTGATAACCGAAAAAATTAAAAACGAAAAAAAAAATTTATGATTACGAAAAAACCGAATTATGATTTGCAGACAGCCTTCCAAAAAATATAATCTTGATTGTATCGTTCAAAAAACAAAACAAGGTAGCAGGTCGGTTGGAATATGGTGCTGCATGACATACTATGGTCTTGGTATGTTTAAATTATTTGATGGTCGACTCAACTCTTTTAATTTATTACGTCGATATTTTAAACAACAACTTGTTACCATCAATTGATGCACTTGAGCAAAACGTTCCGTTCATTTTTCAGCACGACAATGCACCATGCTGCAGGGCTAAAATTGTCTCTAAATGGTTCGAAAGCAAAAATATTGAGCATTTAACTGGGCCACCAAATAGTCCAGATCTAAATTGCATTGAAAATTTTTGGAGTTGGCTTGATAAACAGATTGCCAAGAAAGCGCCAAGGAGCCTTGAGAAGTTGCGCAATATTTTACCAACAATACTTAGAAATACTCCTAAACATATTTTAGAGAATTTAATAGACTCAATGCCAAATCGTATAAATAAGTACTTAAAAATTTATGGTAGAATTACGTGGTATTAGGTAAAAATTACTGTTTTTTGTTCTGTGGTTATTAACTTTTTCACAATTTTTTTAAAATAAAAATTACCTACAAAACTTTATATACATTTTTTTTAATTGTTTAAAAGTCTAACCGTTATTATTATTTTTTTATTTTGTTTGTCTACTTCCTAAGAATTATTAATATTATTTTTTACCAGAAAATTATATTCGACTAAATAAAAATTATGATTTGTTTTTTTGATGGTTCTTAACTTTTTCACAATACTGTATATATATATATATATATATATATATATATATATATATATATATATATATATATATATATATATATATATATATATATATATATATATATATATATATATATATATATATATATATATATATATATATATATATATATATATATATATATATATATATATATATATATATATATATATATATATATATATATATATATATATATATATATATATATATATATGCTGGTAACTTCAGTACATGCATCGACTGACTAAATAGGGTTCCCATAGAAGGAGTGCTATTACATCGACTAAGGTTTTGGGGTGGTATATTTTTAATCTAGTTGTGTTTCAGATATTTCAATAGGTCATGTTTTAAACTTTGAAGTTAAACTTTCTTTGTCTTTCACTTAAAGCATGCGATTATTAAATTCAGAACGATTCAAAAAAGTATATCAAATAATTAAACTTCAATATTCATTTTAATCTCAGGAACTTTAAGATTATAAAAATTCTTTTTATTTTAATATTTTTCATTATTTTGGATAAATAGTTTATACTAATGTCCAATCTTTAACTGTACTTATTGTTTTGCCACTCTTACGCAAATATCCTTTTCCAATTCCCCATGGGTTAATGGCATTTGAAGTTAATATATTTCAAAAACATAAGGTTTGTTAGATAACAGCAAGAAAATAGTATTTCGAGATCAAAAACTAAAAGTAGATAAAATAAAAATAGAGAAAATAAAAGCAAAAAAAAAAGTAATAAAGGATATTTAAATAGTCAACACTGAAATTCGAAAGACAATATATGTTATTGAGAATTTAAAGAAGTTACCTGATGAAGTTTTATGCTGAAAAAAGAAAAAATATATATATATATATATCCTTATATCATAGTTGAAAGAGACTTTTATGGTAAAAAAAGTCTCTTTCAACTACAATTAAATTAATGCAGTACATTAAATTTTAATGTTTTTTTAAAAAACTGCAATAATAATGACTAGAAAGTTTTTTTTTAAATAATGG